CGGGCACACCATGAACTAAAATGGTTTTTCGCCAGCTGGCCGTGTTGCACCACTGCAGTTGCCGTCCCGACTCTTTTGAACTATAAGCGTACCCTATGGTTGTCTCGCAACGCCACACTGTAAGTGTGCGCAAACTGCGTGCCCCAACATGTGGTCTGAATGTCGAACCTGAACTAGTGATACATAAAAGTGACGACACTATTTCAAACCATATACTTTAATGTCAGCAGAAGATTTACAAATCCATGCAATGTATAACACGAGCGCAATTCCTTCTTACGTGGTTCGTCACTTGTTGACAGTGCTGGAGCGTAACGCAGGTTTGTGCCTCGGACACAATTCGCTAAAAGAAGCGCATTCTCCACTCGCTCTTGCATGGTACACCCTCAGGAGCTCCCTGAAGCATCTCCGAATATTGCTTCCTCATGGCTTGCTTCACAAAAGTTTTTATTATGCCCCAGATCCACTCAATGGGATTTAGTGATGGAGAATATGGCACCAGACGCAGGAGGATGCCCGAACGGTACGGTTCCTCCTGGAATACGTGTTCCAACTTCGTGTGGCATGGCGCGTTATTACATATCAGGAGGCAGTTTTCAATAAAAGTCGGCCCTCTGGCATCCAGCATTCGACGCAACCACGCTGCGCATCTTTCCTTCTTGAAGTTTCCTCTCATGATGGTATAGTCTATTAATCCATCGCTCGTTAACGCTCCAACCAAATGCAGCTTTTGGCCTCGAATGTTGGGTACTGTACATTGCGCAGAAGTTGCACGCGATGAACACCCCATGGTGAGAGAACAAAAGATATTGAAATTGGTTTCATCTATCCACACGGCTTGTCTCCCTTCGGTCTCTGAGTGCAGCAGTGCCAAAACGTAGTATTTTCTCCGCATTTTCTTCTTATGTGTGTTGGTTGGTTCCGGAACTGCTCGCAACTTCTTCATGGTAATTGGCCGTCCATCCAAGTAACGTGCAATTGTACTCACGCTTACCTCAATGTGTAACCGCCTTCAACCAGACGTAGTATTTGTAGAGTGACCGTGGGTTCTTTCGACACCCAGGCAATCAATCTGGCTGCCTGTCAGAGACCTTCAGCGTCTCCCAACACGCTTTTCTGTTTGTCTGGTTGATTCCAACCATTTTATTCAACTGCGACAGGTAATCTGGTTTACTATCAATAGGTGTGCAATATACCTCCAGTCGCGTCCTTTCATAAGTCTTATCTTCTTCACCTCCGCCGAGTGCTGCGGACGAGTGCCACGTACGAGTGCCGCGCACGAGTGCCTTTTTGTGACATTCGGATTAGCAAGTGCACTGTTCCACTCAACTTGGCGTGCCTATAGATTTACTTTCACCGCTACATTAGATCATATCAGTGCAGTCGGTGGCGAGGCGATCACGTGATCTCACGTCGCGAACAATCCATATGGCTCTTACGAGTGCACACGTGCAAAGTGTCACAAGACGCACGCGATGCAGCTTCAAGCGTGACCGGTGTAAACATTTGGGGGAACGATGCAACGAATTGAGAAGGTATATGGAACTACCCCCGTTTGAGTGAAACTGGTGGTCGACACCTTCCACAGCACTCTCAGCACATAGCGTCGAGTCCACAGTCCCTGTCTGTACGAAAGCGAAAGTCGCAGTATTTGTCTTTGTTTTATCTTCATCAAGTGAATAGCTTGAGTCATTCATTCATTCATTATACACATCAGCTTGAGACAGTGCCTTGAAGCGACATGTTTCCACTCTTCAATTTATTAGCTTCAATAGACAGCTTCAGCGAGTACGTACGCTTCTGGCTGACAGACTCCGCACGGAAAAGGCTCTTACTGTGAACGAAAGTTGGGGTGTATGACAGATTCGTTTCGTCCTGGAAAAAGTTACTTCTCAAGCGATGTAATCCATGGTGTTCAAAAGGAGTACACCCCGTTCTAAACAGTAAGACCGTGGTTTAGTTTCTGACGGCGATGCGAAAGTAACTTCTACACTGTTGGCCGAGTGGTGTCTGATGGAGACAAACAACTTAAAACCGCCTAGTCAAGGGCGTGTAACGTTGCAAACTACACTCAGTTGCTTGTTGCTTTGGCCAAATAAGGACAATCATAGCTTAAGGGTGGGTGAGTTAGACTAACCGCAATCAAGTGTCCGATGTGACTTCCGTCAACAGACCTCTATGTGGGCATATATACCGATAACCCAGAGGCTTAGGAAGCTGTAATGAACTGATGAACACGAGATCAAGTGGTACCGATTACGATACACTTACTCGACATGGTCGATCAGGTGTTTTCGTGCCACACGCGTCAGGGTTATCCTTAGTTATGGTTAGCCTCCTTTGGGCGTAAATTGGACTTCAGTATAGTTCATAATGAGTCACATGATGAGGTTGATCTCATACAGTGGGTTTTCGGAATTACGTAGTTCTCCAATATATTTATACAAATGGAATTTGGATCCCATCCTCCTAGCGATCTACTTCAGCCCATGCCGGAGGACCGGATTTGTATCATAGTGTTTCTGGGTTGATCGTTCCTCTAAATATCATCTTGGGGGCAAAAATCCACTATTCGAAATACACGGACAAAATAATCGCACCCGTATGATGCACCAAACTATGCAGTTGGAAAAAGTAACCCCGAGGTCTCCCTACAGCAGCGCTTTTCCAACGGCTTCCTAATTTCTATACGTCTACGACATTGTCCTCTCCATTGAATTCTCCTTCCCTCAGCTTTCAACTCTATTCCAAGTACAAGTAATGGCCGCTTATTTATTCGATGCAGTTCCAAAGGATATCCTAACATCGGATGTGATCCTGGTCGTCCAGCGGATTCACTCAAGTCCCATACAGTTGGTACAGTCCACGACAGCAAGCGAATGTGTCGACGAAGATCAACAAATATCTACAAGTTTTGGCTAACGAGCCACAAGTGGTGTGGCTGCAGTATTTTCAGTTCTACATATGTGGTCTGTATGAGACATCGACTTTAGATGTATCAGGTTGGAATGAACGTTATGGAAGGCTTGGTTTGCCTAGGGCTGGGCCACGCATACACTCTCTTGTTCTGCTCACTTACCTCGTTAGATTTCTCTATAAACGCTTGATTCTGTAGATGCAACATCCGATGTTTGCTGTAGCGGCACAGAATTTCCCATTGGTAAGAAAGACTCGGTAACCAACACCTGCAGATCTCGCAGTGCCATACGGGGGTGGAAGTCAAGCATTAACAATTTTCGGCTGAGCCAGGATTTCGATGATGTTTACTTACCAGTATACCTAGTGATGCAAAATAGGACTTACCAAAAGTTGTGAAATGGTTAGTTTACGCGTAGTGACACTGAGGAGTGAAAAGTTCCGTGAACCACCTCAGAAGTTAAAATCCGAGCTGGTTAGAAAGAAGAAATTGTGCATACACATTGGGAGACATGTCAACATGCCCGTCCGCACACCGCGATTCGCGTGAACAACTTACTCTTTCAACGCAAGGTGACTGTACTTTAACATCCTCCTTATTCTCCAGAGTTGGTGTCAGGAAACTTCGGTTGGTCTCCTGGCTTTAAGTTAGCCCCGAAAGGCTTACGTTTCCCAGATGTTGCGGACATCCAAAAAGATTACCACGGTGATTCGAGCGATTCCAGGGGAAGCGTTTGCTGACTGTTTCCAACAGCTTAACGACCGATGTCAGAAGTCTGTTTTAGCTTATGTTGGTTAATTTGATGTCAAATAAAAGCGTTTTGTTTGTAACTCTTGTTTCCGTTATGTTCCGAGACCATTCATCGAACTTTTCGGACTCACCTTGTAATAAGGCGAATCACTTTAACGGGTGGTACTGGGTAGTAGGAACTGGGAAGGGCATCCGCTGCATTTTGCGAGTAGTTCGTTCATAGTAGAAGAAGCTAAAGATGCATGCTATGTGGGAGCTAGGCCAGTACTTCAGCATTATGTCGTCATGTTTGCGCAGGTTAAATAATCTTTTAGGGAGAGTTGTGCAAGTGTAGCACACCTTTGCAACAGCATGTGCATCTTGACCTACAACAAGCTATGTTAGCGTTTCGACCACAGGACTCTGAGTACCACGCGCCTCTCTAGTAGATTAAGCGTGGTCAGCGAATCTCTAGCTTTGCCTGGTCACCCTGATTATTCACGGGGAGTGCCAGAAGCATTAAGTCAGATAAACCATAAACAAAAAGTTTTCCTCTCCTATGCGTCTGACTTTGACCAGTGACCGTGCGCCGCGTCCAAGAGGTCTGCAAAACTGCTCCGTTTGAGTCCCTCTTTTTACGTCTAAAAGATTTTCATTTGTTTTCTCTGATCATAGGAGTCTACAGGGCTTGTGGCCATTCGGTATCAGCAGTTCAGACCAGTAAACTTGTACTCTGCCGTCTGGAAATGCGTTGGAATCAAGTTAACTGATAATTGCCGTTTAACGGTAGCCAGTACATTTGCCACTGGTTGAACTGATTTTCAAGGTCGAAACAATTCATACGGACTAATGATATCTGCTCGTTACGTGAGAAAGCCTGATTCCATAAGGAAGGAGATAAGTGAAGTTGTCTCGTTGAGAAATGCTTTGAAATCGGTGTCATCTTCTGGGTTATACAAACGCCAGCTTTTCTGGTCACAGATGAGCTATCCTAGACGTGTGAAAATCCATTCACCGGTTTGAGCGAAATAAATAATCCTTCGTTCTGTTGGTTGAACTAGATGAGCAGACAATGAAACACTTCAGCCAGATGGTCAAAAGAGTACAGAACTGTCGCACGGATACGTGAAACGCACCTATCGAATACAATTAAGAGACGGCATCATAGAATTTCGAAAAATGTTTGGAATCGAGTGAGAACTCATGATTTCAAAAGAGCATTGAAGCACGTTTGTTAGGCATTTGGTTAGAGGTATTCATCGCATCGCCTAAAGTGCGTTGGGTGAGGATGTGAACTACTCGAGAGTTATAATTCGGAGATCGTGTGAACAGATCACTACAGGCACTCTACAAATTAATCAAAACATAACTGACCAATCCGGACGTCCTCGTTTTCATCAAGTGCATCCTTCTCGCACTTGGGTTCATGCAGTATGCCCTCATGGAATCGCAACAATGCAGCACGCGACATGACATAACCGCCACCCCCAGACAAATAGCCTTGTTTGACAAAAGGCTGAGAGGATGAGAGAAGATTTCGGGTAGTGAAATAGATGGGTCACAAGAAACATTAAAAGCTTCAATCAACGGTACTCCGTAAATCAGACGTGTCAAATTAATAACCGGTTAATGATATTCAGAATGAGTTAAGTAACCTAGACCAACAATGCGATGGCGGTGTTAAGTGGTCCCAGTAAACGAAATGCATGTGGTTAAATTTATAGAAATTCCTGTTGAGGTCGAATGTGCTTGTCCTTATCCACACACGCTGCCATAGATCCCCAAAACCCGAAACAGCTTAATGTTGAACCCGGGGATTAAACTCCCGACATCATCCCTGCTCAAGGTTCCTCCACTTGTCTTTCTTTCCCTGCAGGTACACTCATTCTCGAAGTTATGGCGGGCCGAATGACACCAACACTGACACAAAGGATTACTCGGTCAAAAACAACAGACATAGTTGCGAGTAGACTTCTCTAAAACACACCTGATCGAAACTTGTAAATGAGAAGAAATACTGGTAACTCGGGTTGTCGGTTCAAGCGACAAGATGCTAGACAGGCTTAATACTTAAGTTGTACATAAACAAAACCAGATGACATCATCAGCCATAATGATGAAATGTGCGGGGAATGAAGAGAGTGGGACCAAAGAACCTGATCGCTTGCTCGACCACTTTTTATCCCGTGTAATTTTTTCTTGTTGAATACATGTAGGAGAAATTAGTCCTGAGGCGGAATTTGTCCTACGTGGCGATTATGATTATACTACCGAAGCCCATATACCCATTAGTCCTTCTACCAATAGTCCGCCATTTAACTGGAACATGTTAAACATGGCCCAACAATCAAACTTGTCGGTAAAACTTCTTTGAACAATCGTCAGGGTTGTTGAAGCAATTGTAATGTTCTCAACATAATACCACGGGTCACAACGCCAGCTCACTCGAAATCGTCTACCCATTATAAAAGGTTGTTCTGGATTTTGTCCAGTCAAGATATTCCTGAGATTTTCCATGATGAGGAAGGTGTCGTCATCTGCCTTCAAAAAGTATTCGTATTCTTTCAGGTGTTCCTTTACGGCGTAGTGTATAGCAACTTGGGTTTTATGCCACAACTTGGCCCGCTGTTCGCTGAGCACAGCCGCTGTAAAAGGAACAGAGAAACTTATCACCGGATGTAAGACCAGAAAATGTTAATTTAGTTTTATGTTCAACCGATGTAGATTAAATAGCGCCAGACGAAACAATTCAAGTCGCATAAATTCATTGTTAAACAGCTTGCACAACTTTACACGACAGAGATTCATAGTCTCGATTGCGTTCGCCCAGTCTTCACCGGTTTCCTGAACATTAACTGCGAATAGCCAATGTATCCAGCCAAAACTTTTTAGAACCGCAGTAGACCTTTTCTGACTAGGATAAGTTTTGACATGTGCGCCAATTGCCACCTTAATGTTACCTAAACAACAATGCAAGGGACACACAACTGGAACCCGGAACGTGGAACCAGTCAAGAAGTGATAGGTCCTTACCACCACTCCGTCCGGCCCTATTGGAGGAGACTTGAATAGGTACGTCACTGGATCTTAACGACCTTTGTTGCCCCAGAATTTACGCTTGGCTATAGCATATACTAGATAGCTTTTATCTTCCCATTTAAAAGATAGATGACAGCCATTAACACTCGCGCAATGAGGATAATGAGTGCTGAAACCCGCATAATCAAGGTAAGCAATAACGTTCCGGTCACGAGTGCCGAGAAACCTGTGCCCTGTTGCACACATTTCGTGCCGCCTGGGAAACAAGAGCAGGTAAATGAGTCAAAAAAAAACAAATGACAGAGAGTTCAGTTATTGATGTTGACCTTATATCTCCACTGTCATCCAAAATAAAGACGGAGACACAGTTATTCGAAAAAATGAGAAACTAAAGTTGTTTGACTCATTCGGGGATATCCTTATATCAGTTTCATGCATAATTCAGTCTCTGGCTAATCCAGCGCAAATGCACAAAATTGGAACATTAAACTTGCTAAATGCAGTCGACTCTGAGGTTACCCAAAAATGCAGAAGCGGATAAAACGCCATCGCCTTCAACATGGCTGACAATATCGTGATTGACAACATTAGGCAGACTGTTTCGAGGGCGTACAACATCGCTGAGACAGATATTGATTGTGGAAGTTTGAGGAAAAATGCTTTAGGTTTTCCTTGTCCGACTCTGTTCAGCTTTCGTAGCGAAAGTCTCGCAAGTTCGTTTATCAAAAGTCAAAATACTTTAAGATCTGTTCCGAAATTTCGCAAAGATATTCTATTCGAAAACAGGGCACCTTTGCAACATGAACTTCAACACATGAGTGCAACTACTGTCTCGCCTGAGCCGAAGTAGAGTCATCCTCTATGCGCGCCTCCTGAAGTGCCAAGAAGGAGGTCAGTCAACCGTGTTCGGTGCTCCCCTTCTAAAATCACAGATAATGTTGGCAAGGCCAGTCTGCACAGAAGCGATGCTAACCTTGGCGACAGCGTAGCGGAAACTGAGATGCTCATGCCTCCACACCACATCAGTCTTGTGGGCTTAGGACATAGTGTAGATTCACTCTATGCACCACGTTCTGACAAACCAATAGAGATTGCGATAAATCCCCACACCGCGATTGAAACAGATACAAGTCCAAAAACATTCAATGGGACTATCGATAGCTCCAGTGAAGGTGCACTACGACCCATTGAGATTATGACTACACATAGCAACAGTGGTCATGGCCCGCGCCCTAAGCGTCTTAGCTCAAACAGGGGCCTTCATGCTGGAACGGTGACTCCCAGGGTCCCATTGACAGTCGTGAAGAATAATGCTGCTACACAGCGTGGCAAGCCACACTTCCCCATTGTTCCAGCGATGTGCTAAGGCTCTTTTCTTGGCAGGTCTGTACATGGCTTTGCTGAAACACAGACCACTTATTTATGCCCCTCTCCGTACTGTCATCCGCCTCCTCCTCCCACAATGCCTTCTGCAAACCCTTCGGTAATAACATCCTATCCACTTAAACTCAATCGCCCCAAATTACCATAGCATTCTTTTTCATTCCCCCACCCATTCTCCCACACCCTCTAATCCCGATAGGACTGGCGAATCTCACTGTAAGGGATTAGCTGCCGAAGGCTCTAGAACTAACGTGATGGAAAGAGTAAATAGTGCGTGGCATGATGAACACCGGCAGGACATTTTAAGACTGATGATACTTAATATCCGTTCTCTGTTGACTAAGCTTCATTTACTTCGTACCTTTGTATGTCTGAATAAACCTGATATGATTTTGCTCACTGAAACCTGGCGACATGATTCTGTGCCCAGCCAGCTGCTTTCTATCGAAGGTTACAAGCTTAGTAGAAGTGATGAAAAGTAAGGCAGAAGAGGTGGTTGCATAATTTACTACAAACAAAACCTTGTCTGTGAATTCATACTTCCACTTATATGCCCCACTATTGATTACCGCTTGGTTCGGTACTAAGCGAACTCTTGTAGGCTGTATATACCGCTCACCCGGGGCCAGCTTCAGTGATGAGAACCAGTTGGTTGACATCTTCAATTAAATATCGGAACCTAGTTCTTTTGATAAAAATTCGTAGGTGGAGATCTCAACCTACCAGATATCTGTTAGTCAAACTTAGCAACAAACGCGAAACAGGCTGAGTTCATAACCTCCTTCATCACTGGTGGTTTGGCGCAACATGTTCTCGTGACAACCAGGGGAAAAATATACTAGATCTACTTTTTACCTCAGGCGCCTCCCAGCTAGCTACTGCTGTAATTGCCGGTCTCACTGGATGTGATCACAAAATGGACGTAAAATTATAGCTGAGTCGTCGCATGTGAGGTCAGCGATGATTCCACACTTCCTGCAGTGTTAATTAAGTAGCTTTCTGCGCTCCGCATAGGGTCCAAAATTGAGGCCATTTCTTTCTTTCGTTTGATATTAAGAGAGTCTCTGACATCTTCTATGACAACGTGACTATGTGCTTAAGCATA